GTCGCTGAGTGAAACGTATTACGGTACGACCAAAGGAGATCATTTATGGTGTCATTCATTCCCGCATCTCCTTCTCGATATTTTGATTTAAGAGTCCGGATTACTCGTTCTACCAGCCCATTGGATCGGGGGTGGTAGGGCGCGGAATATATCTTTTTAATGTTGTAGTCTATCATAAAATTTTTAAACTCGTCAGACGTAAAGTGTGTGCCGTTGTCAGATACTATTTCTTTAGGAATGCCCCACGTTGTAAACATTTTTTTTAATTGGTGTATTGCATTAAATGACGAAGGTGATCTCACTACTTCCAATTCCACCCACCTAGAATAATTATCTATTACTATAAACCAATATACATTATTTATCGGACCTGCGTAATCGATATGTATTCTTTCCCACGGATTATTCAATTGGTTCCAATGATATGTTGGATTATCGGGTAATCTCGGTTTGTTGAATTGGCAAACCCGACATGTATTTGCAATTTGTTCGATGTCTTGGTCAATAGATTTCCAATACACTAGATGTCTGGCCAAACATTTCATCCCGACAATGCTGGTATGGCCTCGATGTAAAAATGTTAAGGCTGCGGCTTGTAAACTGCTGGGTAGTATCAAACGATTGTTAAAATATAATATCCCAAAATTATTCTCTAATTCATTTTTAATCGGTAAATAGGATTTTATCTCCGGTCTTTCCCAGTCATTATTATCCATCGCCGAAATTAATGTTTTTAAAACGTTATCCTTCCTGGTTTCGGTACGAATTGTATCCCGACTTAAATTTAATTTTTGTAATCGTATATTTCTAATTCGGAAACAAGCTCTGTCATCATCGCCCAACTCGGTATCTTTTATTATTGGTCCACGTGATAAGGCATCCGCTACATTATTGTTTTTTCCAGGCTTGTATTCAATGTCGAAGTTATAGCTATTTAATTTGTAGGCCCATCTTAATAATCGGGTATTATGGACCTTCGTCAGATCCCGTTCACTATTAAAAAGGTGAATTAATGGTCGATGGTCCGTTCTGAGGATGAACTTACGACCATATAAATAAGAATGAAATTTTTCGATACCAAATAGTATGGCCCGCGCCTCTTTGTCAATTGTCGAATAGTTTGTCTCCGCTTTATTTAGTGTCCGGGAGGCATAGGTAATTGGTCGTTCCCCGTCGGAAAATTTGTGTATCAGCACGGCTCCAAACCCTTTAGCAGAGGCATCGGTATCCAATATCAGTGGAGTGGTTAGATCATAAGGAGCTAATGATGTTTCAGCGGACAATAACATTTTCGCCTTGTTGAAAATATCATCTTCTGTCGCCCCCCATACCCATGGTGCCTTGGTTCCCGTTAGCTGGTGTAGGTGCGACACGAGTGGGTGTAGATGTGGAATAAATTTTTCATTGAAGTTTAGGATACCTAAAAACGATTTAAGAGCGGTTCGGTCCTTCGGGGTGGGAAAAGCTTTAATTGCTTCCACTTTTTTAGGTGACGGCTTGATCCCATTTTTAGTTATGACATATCCTAAGTATGTTATCTCATTTTTGAATAATTGAACTTTATTCGCTTTCACCTTCAGACCAGCTTCATCCAGAATCGTGAGTACTTTTCGAAGATTTTTTTTATGTTCCTCGATATCGGACCCGGTTATAATAATGTCATCCAGATAAGCTGCAGTCTGAGGACAACCCCTTAAAAGTTTATCGATGATTCTTTGAAAAATAAGGGGCGCATTCGTAAGCCCGAAAGGCAAACGGGCATATTTAAAATACCCCATATGAGTCACAATCGTTAGAGCATCTTGTGATTCTTTATTAATGGGAATTTGTAGGTATGCATCCTTAAGGTCTAAAATTGAAAAGGTCTCGCCCCCTCCAATCTTAGTTATAAGCTCATTAAAAGTAGGGATTAAATGAGATTCATCCAATAAAGCCTTATTTATCGTTACCCGGAAATCCGCGCAGATGCGCAACGAGCCATCGGTTTTGGGAACGTTTACAGTTGGTGTCGACCAGCGGATCGGTGTTATTGTAGGGTCGACCGGCTCCAATATGCCGTTTTTAAGTAATCTATTTAGTTCGGCCTCAATCTTGGCTTTCATTGGTATAGGAACTCTTCGACAAGGTAAAGCTATAGGTTTAACTTTGGAGTCAAGATGTAATTCGATTGGTTTGGTATTTAAACATCCCAG